AAGAAAGCAGTAAATCAAGAGTTTCAAGCAGTGATTGTTTCTAGGGGAGGACCCAGACCCCCCTGCTAAAAGGTCTCCTACTATTTTTAGGCACATATTATCGGTCTCAGATATATAAAAAACATGTCTATGAAGTGTTTTGCTCAAAATACCAAACAGATCGCCCATTCTAGCCATGCCTCATACCCCTTTATTTCAGACCTGTCAGAGATGTGCTGATTCTGGGTCTGTAGCTTTAAAAAAAGCATCATGCAGGATAATTCTACCAAGATACTTAGCTAAGCTGCCGTTATTAAACGCCATATCATGTTCCAAACCACATCAAGGATTATTTCTGAAACAGTATGGAGCTCAAATGCTTTTTCTCTGACGGGTTTACCACAAGGTGTTTACCTTTTTATATCTGGAGAGAGAATGTGTAAAAAACACATTCTCTCTCCAGTACAGCGTTAGCTCTGAGTGTTGGCGATGCTTGCTCATGGAGACACAGACCATATTACTTCCAAAACACGTCGCGCATTGTTTCTGATACAGCAACGTTTCTGATAGGGCCGTAGGCGTAAAGCCAGCCCACATTTCCGATATTACGTCATTTCGGCAGCAAAACTGGATCAGCTCCGTTGTACCCCCATTTTTAGAGATGTGGGTACGGAGGGAAAGAGAGAGGGTTTTGTTTTCTGACACCTTGTGAGTCTACTGACACACCGGGGAGACATATTTATGTATAAAAGACATCAAAAAGTGCATTTTGCATGATAGGGGACCATTAATCTGTGTCCCCATGACAAGAACCTATGACTGTTACGACCTGTAAGCTTTAAACATATAAGCAAACAATTACAAAAACACATATAATCAAACATGGACGCACAAACAACACCTATAATATAAAGCGATTTTGAAGGAAATAAATGTAGCGATACTTCGTAGTTACACAAGTCTCCATATGTGTGTCAGACACAAAAGGTGCATGTGTATGAGCGTATGGTGTATGTGTTGGCCCCATGCATCATCAGTGGAAGTGACAGAGTGCTTACTGCTGTAGCAATAAGTGCAGAGTGGGCTTCCAAAATTGTCCAGGGATCACACCGCGCAATCAGAACACTATGTACTGCAACTGCAATCAATTTAGGAAGCAAAAGGTGTGTTTGAGTGAGTGATTGACTTAGAGTAGTGTGTGTGGGGAGTGATGGGGGCCTGTTGGTCCCATAATGGAAAGGTCACCGTGATCCCTGAGGAAGCATAGACAAGAGTTCCATGAGAGAAAGGACTGCAATATTTGAATGTGTCATTCAGCTCAAAGTGTTTCAAAGAGTTTGAGCCTTTTTATACTTGAACTGAGGGATTTCATTCCAGTGGAACATAATGAATTACAGTTAACACCATCTCATGTACCTTTTTTAGTAACACTTTACAATAACAGAGTATTAGTTTCACATGAATTAATAAGTGTCTATCAGAAGAGCGGACTCAAGTCTTATGATTCAAGTCTCACTGGAGTCACATTTAATGACTTGAGACAGGACTTGACACATTTAAAAAGACTTGCAACTCAACATGGGGTTTAACACTAATGTCTCCAGACACACCTTTCCCAAAGATTACATGTTATTTAAAAGGTTTTCCATAAAGCAATGTTAACTAACCTCCTAACATCAAATCAATTAGTGCTGCGTTTAAGGCCACTTCAATTTCTTTTTTAAACAGTTGCTGATAGTTATTGCTAGTTGAAAAGGAGAGTTTATAATGTTATTTTTCTGTTCATGTCATATGATGTGATGACAGTACTCCCGGGTTTAGTAACTTCCGGATTAGTCACTGAAATGGAAAAGAGAGGCAATGTATGCTCTGTGAGTTTTCAAAGAAAAATAATTTTGTTAAAAAAATATGTTTAAAATGGTTTAATAGCAGGGTTTTTTTTCGAAGTTACAATAGATATGATAGTACATTATCTAGATAGATAACTACTGTACAAGCAAGAAGCAACAAGAAACATACCACATACAGCATCAACAAAGACACTATAGAAGAGAACAAACATAGCAAATGTGGTGGGTAATGCTCTCAAGAAAGTGAAGTGTTCTTGAATGCAACTAAAGGCCAAACCATTCCCCTAATTACCGCCTGTTATAAAAAGCCTTATTTATTTTCTTTGGCCCTGTGTTTGGGGGTGCAGGGAGGCTGTTCTCTACAGTTCTTTTTTCCTGCTTATCCATTTATTGTCCTCCATTTATTATCAGACCTGTGGTTGTGAGTAGGTTCACAACATTTAAATCAATGTATGCATCATGGTGAGTCGTTTTTAACATCCATTTTACCTTTTCACCTGCTGCTAATTTGAATATGAAGTATGATTTGCTATTTACGATTTGCTATTTGCTCTTTTAGTGTTTTCCTGTTTTGATTTTGTTTTGTTTGCCCATTTCCTTTTAACTTGCATGGTTTTCTTAGGAACGATCTGGGATCTTTTTGCATAACTTGTCAGTTGGTTCCTTTGATTTATTGGAGCTTGGTGTTGGTCATTGGGGGGGCTAGTCACACTCACTGCTGTGTTAGAGAGCACTGGGGTGCAAACATTCTTTTTGTAAGAATATATAAAACGTCTTAAATATACTTACCCCTGCCCTGCCACACATACATCAACATTGCAAAAGTCAACAAGTAAAAAGAAGTGCAAGTATTAAGCTGCAAAGTGGATGCATTTCAATGGTGTTCAGATTTGAGAATACAACTGTTGCCTTGCTGCATAATAAAAGCTAAGGTTTGTCATCAATGTGTCACACTGTACTGAGGCACCAAGGAAACACTCCTTCATTATTTGTTGTCTTTATAGAACCACTTAGCTTTGCTTAATAACAATGCCAATGAAGCCGTTCACAACAACCTAAGGTTTGCCTCGATGCACTACTTACGGGAACCTTCAAATTATCTAGAATTATCAAAATAAATGGAAACATGTCTACTATACTCCAACTTTCAGAAGAATCCTGTGATTCTGCAGAAAATGTATTATTATTTTCACTGTGCTCTCAAACATGTCAGGCTGACAACGTTATTTTCACTTGACAGAAGAACATTATCTTAGGTAATAGATGAATCTACCTCTCTTACTTGTTGGAAAAATTACAAGTGTCAAAATATAAATAGTCACCCCACTTGTTTTAATTATGCCTATCACAGTACCAAATCAAAATCTAACTATCCTTCCTAGAAAAATAACTATCTCAAGACCAGCTAAGGCTCCCAATTTCTTCTTCAACTATTTACAAATCAAACACAATACCTTTCTTAAAGGATCTATCAAACCAAGCACTTTAGCTCATGGATAGACTTGCAACAACTGTATTTCAAAAACATCTCACGTTAAGATGTACCTTTCCTTAAAACAACCATCATGAAGCTTCCCTGCTCTGAAAAAAGCTACAATCTCCATAACTGTGACAGCCCGGTGCAAAAATCATAAAGATCTTTAATTCTACTACAACACTGTGTAAATACACTCCTATCTGGCAAAACATTGACTTTCAACTTCACAGCACTTATGACATATAGGTATTAAGCATTATTACCACAATAATCATCAATTGGACTTAAAATATCTTATACAAAAACATGGGGTTGGGAGAATGCAGTTTCTTGAATACTACCCAATTACTACTCACCAGTCATCTTAGACTGCAGAATCCCTCTATCCCCAGAGCTCTGTCTGCTACGACACACTCCAGAAATCAATGTAGTCAACAAGCACAAGAACAGCCAGTTCATTTCTGAGATTGCCACTGTGTCAGTGGCAATCTCCTTTCAGAAAATATAAACATTGAAGGAAACCACTGCTTACATAACAACAAATCACACACACAATACTTCAGATAGCAACACACATATCAATGTATGACTGTTTATTTTATTTATCTGAATAGGAGTTAGAAGATTACTTTACCTCCCTTGTAGGGTGAGAAAAAAAAAACGACAGACTTCCAAACCATCGTCATCGTGACTGTTCCATGTTATGTTTTTTGATGTATGTCTGGTTATTACAGTATGGCTACCTTATTTAGATCCCCTATTATCAGTATACCTATGAAGCCCATACATCTTCTGAATGACTGTAGGTCTTGGTTTTTGGTTCTATGAGGTTGTGATTATTCTAGAGGTCACAACGGGTCCAGCTTCCAGACATATTAACATCAACCTAAAGTATGGGAACATTTATACTGCATGCAATGAACTGCATGGTTCTTTGCCCCAAAATGCAAGAGATACATTGGGCATGTCTGTAAATTGTAGATGTGTGAGCATCCATAGTTTAATTTTCATTCAGATAACTTACGGTGAAAGGTCAAAGGACCCCTGTGAGTATGGCAATGACAATTTTTCGCATATCATACCATATTAGCTCCTGTCTTGTTTGAACCCCCTTAAAAAAAGGCACATTTGCTCAGGTTGAATAATGTTTCTGCGGTTTTCACCATTTGCGTTCTCGTATACCTTCATTATAAACGGGGAGTTACAGTAACAACACTGTATCTGCACTTTCTACCTTTGTATAGTTCTACATACTACATACATCTCTATAGTCAACAGTTTACAGTCTTATGTAGCTCTTTTATCTTCTCTTGCACTTTATATGTCGTAGCTGCTATATTGTACTGCCATGTGGTAAATACTTGTATATGCTGCTCTTGCTCTTTTTGCATATCATGTATTTTGTTTTTGCTATGTTTGTAAAATGTAAACTTCTTAAATGTTTTATGTGAGGGACTGCGGATGGAAATGAGCTCAAAGCTAAATCTGGCACTGTTACGCTTGACACATTTTTTATGTTTTAAGTGTTCATCACTGTGCATTGTCCCTGCCAATAAACGATTAAATGAAAAAGAAAAAGCACATCAAGCTGCCTTATAATAAAAAAATGTAAATTCAATTAAAAAAATTCCAATCTGATTCCTTACATTTAGCAGTTTGTTTATGACGTTAAGGAAATAAACGAAGAACACAAACACATTTGAAAACTCGCATTTCATTTTATTATAAAATGTTGGAGGCCATACTTGTAATTTCATTAATAAGCTGCTCGAATGTTACAACATATTGCTGTCAACATCACATCAATCCAAAACACTGCAATAGCTGGCAGCTGAGCATAAAAGAGAAGGATGTCTGACACACACAGACCCAAACACAAAGAAACAGAAGCGTTTTTAACATTTTTGCCATAATGTACTTTTACTGTCCTAATTTGGTCTGAAGAAGAAAGCCGGCTGTAATTTATAGCATCTGACATGCAAAGCTGTAATAATGGAAAATGTGTTATCCATTCCTATCTGTTTTTTGTTCCTCATAATTTGTAAGTGATCATATTTATGATCAATATCTGCACAGACACACACTAGGCACACAAGTACACACTCATACATACAGTAGCAGTTGCCTACGTATTCAGTTGATTTGAATTAAATGCTTCAGTAAGTTTATGATTATCATGCAGCATTAATTTTCATAGGAAGAAATACTAAACATCAATTTTAAAATGATTAAATATCTTACTTGTTCATAATGAGATGGTAGGTAGCTTCACATTTCTGATTCAGGCATTGTATTGCCTATACTGTAGGAGGGTTCCAGCTAAGATTCTAAAAAGCCTAAAAAGCTTGGTTTACAACTCAAATGATACAATAATAATTCCTGATATGCTAATAGTCCATATCCGTATTTTATTCACTTCACAAACAAGATATATCTTAGTCTGACCAGCAGTTATTGTGTCTTCAGCTAGTGTGAAACACTTAGTAAAGTGCAATACATAATACAGTATCTTATAAGGACTTTACATACAACTATATCAGTAGCTAACAGTTCCCTGATTTTATATCGCTTTATTAACAGCAGAAAGCATGGCCATATACAGTGTTTGTGTGCATGTAATGCACACACTCACTCATTCACAGCAGACACACGCAGTAGAAGTTTGCAGTAGCTACCAGAAAAAACACAACCGTTCATTATTCAGGTACAGTAATAACAAAAAGCATAGATAGCAATGGTTCAAGTAAAGTTCATTCAACAAGCTGCTCCGTTAGCAAATAATGAGCATGCGTGTGTATGACACAGGTAATAGCAGGTATTCACAGTACAATAAGTGAGGCACATATACGGCTTTATGTACCTCCATTCATTAAAAAGCATCACTATGTCTCAAATGCTTGGAATGGTGAGTCATCTGAGCCGGTCAGTGGGTGATTAGCGCTCAGTTCGCCCTCCTGTTGTCACTTCCTGTGAGACATAAAGACAGAGAGGAAGTCATATGTGCAGGGTTGAAAATCCTGAAAAAAGGTTAACTGATGCTGAATGCTGCCTGTTCAGCACCCAACATTTCCAGTAAGTGACAGGCTGGTGACACATTTAAGCATTTAGCATCCTTCAGTGAGACAAATATTTTCCTCAAGTGTTGGTGGAGTACAAACAATATTGAGCATTAGATATTAGCAAACATCACTGACCAAACTTGGTACAATTTTGACAAAGATAGGTGGATTTGACCAACCACTGGTGGGTAAAACAATCGGCATTTAACAATCGATCTTATTATTTATTGAAAAGGCCACTCTATCGCTAGATGCCAGACTATAGTGTTTAGAGATACCTCTGCAAAAGCCTCATTTCTGGATTTATGTAAGGATTTAATTAATTCCTCTGTTCATTTTATAGTTTAGTAAATTATAAGAGGTCACTTTTTTTTCATAATTTCACAGGATAAGGCAACCCTGTCTCCTAAAAATTACGTTCCCACAGAACTAAACTGCATTCTCAATTACGTTTAGCGAGAAACGTATTTTCTCCCACATTATGTTTGTTTTGAACGTATCTCAAATATGTTTACATTCTACTTATCTCTGCCATTTATTGTCTTGCTTATAATGATAATAGTAATGTATTAATATAATTTTAGAGCAAACTTATTTTCGGGGTGGCGGCTCACTGTTCAGTTTACCAAATCCGTTATTATGCTGGTTAATGGGTAAATAATCACAATATTGTTTGTAGTCATACTGCATTCTCAATTACGTTTAGCTAGAAACATATTTTCTCCGCAACAAGTCCTCCAACTCATACGACCAAATAGGTTGATTGTTCAAGCAGCTTATTACGACCTATAATCACGTTTTAAAGTTTTCGACCTCGACCCTCCCGTTGATTGCAAACGCTCCGGTGGGTCGTATATTCACAAATAACCCTCTCTGGAAAATCCTAAATTGTAGGATAGTTTGGCCATTAAAATGCTTTTTGATTCGATTTCTAGCAAGAAGTGCATATTGTACTTTTAGAATCTACGTCCAGTGGATGTGTAGGAGCTATAGTTTGATAGATATTACGAAGATTATTTGAGGTCTTGCCAGGAGAACGTCAATATACTACGTCTTTCCCCCTATTCATTTCTATTCACCTGCGCCCATGTAAAGTTATCGTCAACCCTCACGGGGTGAAAACAGACTTTCTGGTCTCGAAGTTTTCATAGTAAAACCAGAAGTATTCCCCTCACTGTCAAATGATTTTACAGTGAAATCTGCTGTACTCATCAACTAAAAAACATCAGTTTATCCTTAATTTAATTACACGACATTGATTGGTTTAAATTGTGTACAATGCTTTTGTGTTTTTCCCATAGATTTTTCCCTTTCTTTGAAATCTTTACATTGGCTTCCAGTCGGCCAAAGAATTGATTTTAAAGTACTATTGCTAGTTTTTAAATCATTACATGGGTTAGGACCAAAGTACATTGTTGAACTCCTGCATAATTACGAGCCATAAAGGTGCCTCAGGTCTTCTGGGACGGGTCTGCTATTGGTTCCAAGAGTAACAACAAAACATGGAGAGGCAGCATTTAGCTATTATGCCCCGACACTCTGGAACAAACTACCCAAATCATGCACGTCCGCAGAAACGCTTACTATTTTTAAATCGAGACTAAAAACATATCTCTTTGCCGCTGCTTTTAATTGAGCTGCTCATATTCGAACTAGAGTATGCCTTTTAAACATGTATTGTATACCTGTGGTGTTTATTTTTATTATTTTATTATCTTTGCTTTTTAATGCCTGTTGTAAAATGCCATTATATAATGTGTTTTTACTGTATTTATTCCTAAAAAGTATTTTAATTTGTTTTGTAAAGCACTTTGAATTGTCGCGTACAGAAAAGTGCTATATAAATAAACTTGCCTTGCCTTGCCTTGCCTTTCGATTCTGAGAGACACATTTCTTTTTTCAGAGGTTTTGACAGGCGAAAACATCTAACTACTACTATAATCCTCAGCTATCGTTGAAGCTTGGTGATTGGATGTTTTAGCCGCAATGCACGTTGGGATATGGTGTTTATGCGATATGAAATCCAAAAACATTTAAAAAAAAAGTTCTTTAATCCGCGTGTGCTTGCTTTTCTCTTTGAAAGTCATCACATAACGGCATAGTAATACACGGTTTTAGCTGCATTAAAAATGACACATCTGCCGTAGTTCTCTATTTATAGAGCCCTGATTAGAAGACCTTTGGACAAATTGGAAGAAATGCCGCCGAAACTGAATACGTGACGTGGATCATAAATATATCAGCAATTACACAACATCTTCCATTTCTTTTCACACAATACGTCTCCTTGCAGTATCAATACTAATTCGGATGACTTTTATATTTGATCCAATTGGTAAATAGGCTGTATTTACAACATAACGGTGCACAGCTGATACAAAGGGACTTGTAGTTTTTAAAGATATTACTAATTTTCTTTGAATTAAAGAATGTAAATACTGAGTTGAGAGAATAGTCAGGGGTTTTGGGTGATGGGAGACACATCTATGGAATCACAATTTCAATAGCTTACCGTTAAATGACGGATATACCTTTCTGTCTGTGATGTTTTACAAATCAGATGTTAATGTGTAGAACTAAAACATGTGACATAATATAGCAATATCCTGTAAGATTATGTGAAAACATGAATAAAACTACACATCTTCAGATGTTATACATACATAAGTGTCCTACACTAATAATGAAAAAGTTATTATGGCATTGTATGCTGTGTGTACCTTTATTTTGAAATTAAAACAGAACGGTAAAAATACAGTTTCCGGTGTGAGGCCCAATCTCTCTCGATTTGAAGCTTATGCATTGTGCCATGAACTTGTATAAACCTGTAACAGCCAAATACAGGCAACTGTTGAGGACTTGGAAAGGTAGTTTCTGAAGATGTTACAAATAAGTTAATAATAATATTATGTTTGATATTATTATTTTTTATTAACTAGACCACTGGGTCATGTTAAGACCATCTTTTCTGTCGGTTTGGTGTTACCAAAGTCTTAGGTTCACAAAAGTAGTGAAATATATGAATTACACTGTATATAAATGTGTAATTCATGTCTAAAAGGAAAATAAAAATTGAGTAAAATAGGTGTTTATCATATACTTTCACCACAGCAGGGACTGAGATACGTTAGGACTGAATAATGACTTCATATTACATTCCAAGGTTCATGTGATGTGTACAAATACAAATTGAGTATTATACCTTTTTTTTTCCACCAACAATTTATTATAAATATGTTTTTTTCAACCAACTATTTATATAAATATAAGAAACTTGAAAATCTCACTATTTACAATATTGAACATCAGAACTTTCAACCAACTATTAATTATTCACCTGTAAACTCGACAGTTTTTTAACCCGCACCACCTAGTGGTTAAAGCACGTTATTACACGTTTAGAGTAATTGCAATGCAGGTAAGGGTTTTGTTGCTAATCTTTGCTGCATGTTTTGTTGAATATGTTATATTTTATGAAAATGTTTAATATTAAGAGTACATACAAAATTGGGGGAAAGTAGAAGGTCAATGATGGAAATATAGAATAGAAAATATCAAGAATATACTGTAAGTGATCTCTACAATAAATCAGTTTAGTGCAGGACGTCCAAAGATATTAATAGGAGGATGTGCAGAACAGACAAACTAATTAGGCTTTATTTAAACATTAAAGAATACTTTAGGTTAAGGTCTTCTTTTGAATAAGAAAAAAGCTTTGGGGGTATCTACAGATAAATATTAAGCCTGACAAAGTACTTAACGTCTAATATATTGCATAGTTTGTTTTGGAACTTGACAATCAACTTTCCTACAATGTTAATGTTGAAGCACTTATTTTAACTGATATTATACATATTAATTATACTCTTATAAGATATAATTCTTAGATAGAATAAGAAATGTGCAGAATATGACAGTTTAATGGTGGAGGTGGCCTATCCTGTTTTGGATAGTCTGCCGTGGCGGCTTCGTTCCATTTAAAAGTGCTGATTGACGCTCGGCGTAACCTTGGCGCACTGCCACTCCAACATCCAATCACAGAGGGGGCTAATCACAGGGTTTGTCAAGCAAAGGGACTGGTGTATTCCAAACGATAGCTGAGGATTATGGGTAGTGTAGTGTCTTCGGCCATCCTAAACTCCGAAAAAACTATTTGTTTCTCCGAATCGAAGGGGAAAAACACAAAAGCATTGCACACAATTTAAACCAATCAATGTTGTGTAATTAACAAGGATAAACTGATGTTTTTTAGTTGATGAGTAATGCAGATATCACTGTAAAATCATTTGACAGTGAGGGGAATACTTCCGGTTTTACTATGAAAACTTCGAGACCGGAAAGTCTGTTTTCACCCCGTGAGGGTTGACGATAACTTTACATGGGCGCTGGTCAATAGAAATGAATAGGGGGAAAGACGTAGTATATTGACGTTCTCCTGGCAAGACCTCAAATAATCTTCGTAATATCTATCAAACTATAGCTCCTACACATCCACTGGACGTAGATTCTAAAAGAACAATATGCACTTCTCGCTAGAAATTGAATCAAAAAGCATTTTAACGGCCAAACTATCCTACAATTTAGGATTTTCCAGAGAGGGTTATTTGTGAATATACGACCCACCGGGTTGGGTCGTATGGGTTGGAGGACTTGTTGCGGAGAAAATAAGTTTCTAGCTAAATGTAATTGAGAATGCAGTATGAAACGACTACAAACAATATTGTGATTATTTACCCATTAACCAGCATAATAACGGATTTGGTAAACTGAACAACAGTGAGCCGCCACCCCGAAAATACGTTTGCTCTAAAATTACATTAATACATGACTATTATCATTATTATAAGCAAGACAATAAATGGCAAAGATATGTAGAAAGTAAACGTATTTGAGATACGTTCAAAACAAACGTAATGTGGGAGAAAATATGTTTCTAGAAGATATGTAGAAAATAAACGTATTTGAGATACGTTCAAAACAAACGGAATGTGGGAGAAAGTTTCTAGCTGAACTTAATTGAGAATGCAGTTTAGTTCTGTGGGAACGTAATTTTTAGGAGACAGGGTTGGATAAGGCTGCTTGGAAGACCTGAACACTTACTATATTCACCAAGCCCTAACATCCCGACCTTCATTAAAAGTATGCAGTCAGGGAGAAGCGTTTAAGTTATGTATGTTTGTTCAAATAATTGTGTGGGTACATTTAAAATAATAACTAGTTTGGGATTCAAGGAAAGGTGCTTATTTGACTTTTTGTCAAAAGTGAGAGGAGAACATGTCTGCACACATACCAGAGCTGAATACTGAGTAAGCTGAGTACAGGCACAAGTGATCTCTATATTTTTATCCAACACTCAATTAGAAATTGAACGAGCGTATTACACAAACTTCCAAACTATTTATTTAATAAACGAGATGCAAATCAATTAGGATTGTGTAACCATTGCTGAATCAAGCTTGGCAATATATTTAAAATAAAAACAAAGACATACACTCAGTGGCCACTTTATTAGGTACACCTGTTCAACTGCTCGTTATAGCAAATATCTAATCAGCCAATCACATGACGGCAACTCAAGGCATTTAGGCATGTAAACATGGTAAACACGACCTGGTGAAGTTCAAACAGAGCATCAGAACGGGGAAGAAAGTTGATTTAAGTGACTTTGAACGTGGCATGGTTGTTGGTGCCAGACGGGCTGGTGTGAGTATTTCAGAAACTGCTGATCTAGTGGGATTTTCCCACACAACCGTCTCTAGGGTTTAAAGAGAATGGTCAGAGAAAGAGAAAATATCCAGTGAGCGACAGTTCTCTGGGCGAAAATGCCTTGTTGATGCCAGAGGTCAGAGGAGAATGGCCAAACTGGTTAAAGATCATAGCAAGGTGTAGCTAATAAAGTGGCTGGTCAGTGTCCATATTAGGGGAATAAAACAGCTACTACACACATACGTACTTGTTACGATGTGGTCCGTATGTGTCCAGCATGAGCGTGCTGGCCTGTTCCAGGTTCCACTGGCAGCGCTGCAGAAGTTCCTCACACTCAGATCTCGACCTCAGGCCAAGACGAAACAGCTGCTCCACCTTCAATACGTACAGCAAGAACATGAAATGTAGGCAGGCAGGCAGGCAGGCAAGTTGTTTGGTATTGACTGCTATTGTTTGAGTATTGAATGATGTCTCTGATTCACACTGTGTTATATGCATTTCAGTCCTATGATTCTCATTCTCTCTCAGCATAGAAAGAAAGGAGAGTTACAGTTGAACAAGTTCTTATACAGTTCCATTCATCCTCCTATCATGTATGTCCTTGAGCTTTCTCTTACTAACGGAAGTCCATATAACCATTTGTTTAATGTATGTTCATTTTACCTAACTGTTGTGTAACTCACGCTGAGTCAGATGGGTTTGTGAGCTAAATGACTGTCGGTCACATTTGCTTAGATTTATGGAGTCAGATCAGTGTCAATATTATTAAACGCAAACATAAAGATTCACAAATGTATTGCAAATGTAATTGTTAGCTTTGCACCACATTTTATTACTAAGTTTTAGGGTACCTGGTGACAACATCTACTCTACAGGTGGAGTTTAGCTTTCAAGGTTAACAAAGTATTTTAAAAACACAAGTGTACCTTTAAAATGTTTACTGCATGGGGGGTGCTCCAGTTGTGACTTTGCAGAGCTGCCTGACACTCTTCCAGCGTGACACCGTGTACTGCTCCTTGGACCTGTCAATAACGGACCTTATAGTCATCAGACCATTTTACCAAAGCCTTTTTCTTTGTAAGCTACACCACATTTACCCATTCACACACTGATGAAAGGTCTTCTGTACAAGGTGCCAAACTGCTCACAATCTAATATCTATTATTTATTCACATACACTCTGACACTGATGGCTAAGTCTGCTGGAGCGTTTTAGGGCCCAATGACACAGGGGTTGCAGTCGAATAGTCAAAAAATCAGCTCCTATCGTCTATTCCTATCCACTATTCCTTGACCTCTGTTTGAAACGTCACAGGGTTAAGGGATAGTGGATAGGAGAATTCAAAAGGACTTAGGAGAAGAGACTGCGGTGCTTTGAGAATCCGACTGCACTTACACTATCGGACATATTTATGATGCGACATCGGACGTCATAAATGTGCGTCTGCTGTCGGGAAAACTACAGTTTTCTATACAGCAGACTACATGGATGTATAATAAGAATGGCGGACTACTGTAAACTCATCTAGATACTTTGCACCGTGCTCTTATGGTGTTGTTTTATGCTTTATGAACGTGGACAAAAGAGAAACATAATCATCATAACCGAGGTTGGAATTCAAATAAAAAAGGAAAGTGAAACTTATGCTTGTCACCCTCCCCCTCCGGTCCACATTAATACAAATGATCCCAATAGGTATGATTGTATGAAAAGATCTTAAAATAAATACAAATGTAATTATTATAAACGTGTTAGTCCTTAACCTATCACTGTGTATATCACCATTAAACATGTTTTTAAAAGTTGAACAAACCCCACACAGCTCAGTAAACACTGTGAAATGTTGACTTTATTTGATCATTTCAGTAAAAACTAACGTTCATATTTCTCCTTTTGATTATTATAGTGATGAACGTTTAAAACAAAGCACTTTGGCGTGAACGGCCGAATGTTTTGTCACGGTAAATGTTGACCTTCCTTTACGAAAGGAAAAGGAAGGTCAACATTCACCGTGGTATTGTGTGACAGCATGTTCTCTTTTCCTTTCGTAAAGTAAGATCCAGTGTTTCCTAAGCTAAAGGAGTTTATAAAGGAAGTTTCAAACCTCCTTTCCTATCATCTAGAGCACTGCTTCTCAAAGTGTGGTCCGTGAATATATTGGTAACATTTCGCATTTGAAATAAATAAATAAATAAAAGTTTTCCGCACTCTCGCGGAAATATCTCCACAATGGAGCGAGCTTAAGTTTCACTTTCGATTGCATGATATAGCCCAGCGCAACACCTTCATCACAGATATGCCACTTGTTTGTACCATTTTCAGGCGATTTATAATCTGTTCTAGAAAAACAATGTGATTTTGCATTTAGGTTAAGTGGTCCTTGGTATGAAAAGTTTGAGAAAAACTGATCTAGAGAATTCGAACGGCTCTTATCATGGTTGCCACTGAGGTACTTCCGGGTCATTTCACTCCGTTAGGAAGGTTCCTAAGCTAAACTGACAATTCGACCGCAGCCTTGGACTTGTGGACTTGAGGAGCCAGGGGTGGAACTTCTGATCCAGTAATGGACGATGTGCTCTATTTTCTGAGCAGTAGACTCCATACGAAGTTATGAAGTTATAATGAATGGAGGATTAAAGTTTAAAGAAAAAACCACAGGTAGTGGTTAGGTTAATGCCTCCTTCTGAACTCCTTTTCAGAAAGGTAACATGATTCTACAAAGAGGAAACACATAACTCTACAATAAGTCCTACTGTATGCCAGATGTGAAGTTGTCTCAGACAAGTCAATGATGACCTGCTTTCCTCACATTATCAGAATTCCTGTTAGGACTTATGTGGTCTACATTTCAATTGAGTTTCCACTTGGGGCAAGGTACAGTGAGATTACAACATCAAGCATGGCTGTGACTGTGTTATTAGGGTTCGATCCACTTCATGTTCGATCCACTTCAAACCATTTATGATGAAAGTATTTTAGCTAATGGTCTAATATTTAATGAGGCCATATAGTTGTTATATAGTGGGTCAAAAGGAGTTACTAGGTTAAAAGCGTTTTAAAGCCAAAGTAGCAATGCGCTTGACTAATTGATTAATAAGAATCAGGGAATTTTAAATCCAACATGTTGAGGGTGACTCATTTGACTGATTTGTCTGCATGTGGCATTTAAAATTAATGTGCGCATTTTATTTTCCTCTCTCTTACCTGTGTGACGCTCTGCTCCTGAAGCATGCTGGGAGCTGCAGTTCGCCCATTGTTGTTGTTGTAGGAGGAGTTTGGTTTGGCTCCGCTGGGATGTTGAATCATTGGTTTGACTGCCGCCATATTAGCTGCTCCATATCTAACACAAAATGGTGACAGTTTTTTTGTTATTATAGATACATTTTTTGAAAGGCATGGTTACAGTACTGTACTGTATCTGCACTTTAATTTATATAATAAAAAACTGCTTGTTTATTATTGTATATTAACAATTTATAGACATGTTTATAATCCATAAATATGTATTTTACAAATATATTGTTTATTTCATACATTATGGATTAACTGGCATTCTGCCTATGAAGATTAGAATATGATGAAAAGCTCAAAATCAGCGTGTAGATTCAAACCTAAGTGAACTCAGAACGAATCCCCCTAGATTAGCAATTATAGTTTATATGGAGCTAGTTCCAGGATCATTTATTGGCTAAACAAGCTAGTTGGACAGTGTTTGATATCAGCAACACACCTTTCCAGAAAAGCTGGTCGCTCTGGCAACGGAGCCGGAGCAGAGCTCTGGGAGCTGTCAATCAGTGAGGAGAGGCCACGCCCCTCACGAAAAGCAAGAGGATCCAGTATGGAGCTGGATGAGTAGGATGAACCACTAGCTGCCTGCCGTGAGGAGTGTGATGTGGAGTGAGACGGGGAGGAGTTAGAGGACAGAAGGGGTCCCAGGAGTCCTGATGCCCTGCGAGGGGAGCTTGAGATAGGGGGAGGGGGCAGGGCCATGGGGTAGGAGGACAGCGGGGGCACCAGGGGGAGTGGAGAGGAGGAGCGGGAGCCTGGCTGAGAGAAGGCGTGGTCTCTGGGTGGGATCTGAGGAGGTCTGTCTTCCGTGTCACCCATGGAGATGGAGCTGGGGCGAGCCTGGGGGTGGGGGGTGTGGGTAGAGGGGATGCGCTTGGACGGACGCAACGGGGGGACGGGGCTGCGAGGGGGCAGCACGGGACGGTCATCCAGGCAGGAGGGAGCGTAGGTGGGGGACGGAGGGGGCAGGTAGATCTGTCGGTGGGTGCTCGGAGGAGCCAGGGTCATCGGGAGCGGGGAGGAGGGGAGAGAGCGGCCCGTTGACATGGGAACCTGAAGCTTCACCATCACCTACACCCACAAAAAACAGATTAGCATGTGTCTGTTTGTGTCCACAAAAACTGAAACAATGTGTCCATTACTTTCTCTACCTCTCTCTGTAACTCTTGGAAGAGGTCAGCAGACTGCGACTCGCTCCGGCCAACCATACTGATGCTGGCGGTGGGCGTGGTCTCCTCAGTGAATCCCTTGTTAATAGACCGCACCTCCTGGTCCTCTGATTGGTCCTCGAGCTCGGTAGTCACCTCGTCATAAGATGGTTGAGGGAGAGGCCAGTCCAGGATGGACGGAGTATCCTGTATGAGAAGGAGGGACATTGCAGAACCTGAGAAAAATGTCATAGACAGTGCTAAAGACTCTCATAAACCAACTAGGGGAAAGTTATACATTATAAAAGCCAACCTTGGAACAGAGAATGACTCAATAGTATGTCGTGGCCAGCTTCATACTGTATGTCGAGAAAAAAGAACAATCTAGTATTGTTGTTGAATTAACCTTGGCGAACAACATTTGTCACCTAGAACTTGTATGGTTTAAACATCATATCTCATCAAAAGAACTGGGCAGGACTGGAAGAAGCAATGGCTGTAGAAGTTTTAGATTTACAACAAAAAATCTGCACATTACATATGTGACATATTTATGTAGCAAAAAAGAATGAACAACCAAACTCGTTGAGATGATGGAAAAATGCTTAAAAGTTAAGCAGAAATATGACTGTGAAGCCCTAAGTAAGCCACTAAATTACGAATGTGCACATAACCAATCAATAAGTGCAAATCTGTTTCACTGTATCTGCCTTCGGCTCAAGGACAAAAGTTTATTCAAGACTTTTCTTAGTCAAAAGCTGGAACACTTCCTTTAGAGAACACAAAACTGTGATCACATAGTGTGAGAAGGTCTATGTATTTGACAAAACTTTAAGATCATGTACTGCTGGAGCACAATGGCTTTCTGTGTGGGATGGCGTGGGACTGGAAACCAAAGGGAATAATAGTAGTGGATACACAAGATCAGAGGGGAAATTATGCGTGTAAAATATAAAAACCTCTCCACGTCCTTGATTGCAGCTGTGGAAACATGTGAAAAAGTGCTGTATGTGCTGCTTTAAAAAATGCAAATCATTCTTTTCCATCAACCTTCGATTCTGTGAAAGGGCGCCAGCAGTAGGAGGTAGGAAGCATGGATACTGTTATGAAATCTGGACACAGCACCACTGCTCTGCGTTCATTCTATTTTGCACAGTGACCACTCTTGACTTTACAGTGAAAAATGTTTCACTAGGACGACTATTCTAAAAGAGACGTCTTTAAAACTGTTGACAGGAAACCGTGAAGTTCATAATGGCTGTGTACCAAGTGTCTAAGCGACTTAGACTGCAAGGATGTCTTCGTTCTGATTTGTGTTCCATTAAATGCCAAATCCTTTGTGAAGACACAATGTAGGCTTGGCATAAAATACTTGAACCAAGGTTCAATTGAAGGTAAATTACAGCATCATAGAATCTTAACGCCATCCAAACTGCATCTATACAGGTCCGTCGATTTGAGGATTGCAATATGCTATAGCACTAAATATAATAACTCAATTACAAGACTACACGTTAACATAATAACAAAGTCAAAAGTGTTAAGATCCAAACTTGCAGACTTTTAGCATTTTACTAGCATACTGTAATGTGTGCTGGCGTAAAAAATAACATAAATGAAGAATATGTAATCTGCCTGCTAACTATGAGTCTTTAGTTTTTAGGTTTTATAATTGTAGAAACTTTCTTGAACCATAAAAAGGGATTAAAACATTTATTACGTCACATTGTTAAGTCTATGGGCCGAGTGGGTTCTTGAGGGCAGGGCCAGGGGGACAAAACACAATATTAAATCAGCCGAATACTGGAATTAAACCCAGAAGCTAGAAAACTGTTATGGTTTAAAATGAATCACATGTAAATATTTCACATCCTAACTACTTTCATTCACTAACAGTACCTTGAGGGTGTCCTCATCCGGCTGCCGCATATCAGCAAGTGGCGAGGGCGTGGTGGAGCTGAAGCTGTCATCAGTGAAGTCGATGAGCGACACTTCACTTTTGGCCGAGCGCACACCGGACCCCTCCCACGGTCTCAGCTTGAGCCCCAGGGACACTCCGAGCTTCCTCAGGCCAGAAGAAGTGCTGGTGTCTTCTTCGTCATTGTAATCGTCGATCACAGAGTCGTAGAATGGCTCTGGATGCACATTCAAGCACCAGTCAGGAAACACAAGGATGTATTTAAATGAAAAATGTTTGATTGTAAACAGTTGCTGAGGAACACTTACTCTTCAGCAGGACAGCAGGTTGAGGCGGACGAGGAGGAGGTTTCTCTGATAAAGAGAGTTTTAGATATTAGTGTATATTCACATAGTGCCTTAAAATGAATAAGAATTATGAGGTAATATTTGTTCAGTAGGACCATTGTAAGCTAGTTACAAGGAGTACATGTAAAAATACTGTTAGAAAACACTTAATAAAAGTCCAGTTAATGCTCAAAACCTCCAAAAAGTATCAAAAGTAACATTGAGGAGTAACATTACTGATGCATTAATGTATTTCTTGCATTTCATTTACTCTTTTTACCTCTGTATATTCTGGTGGGCAGTTTAATCTACATCACTGCATCATATTCTATAATATAATCACATGTTTGTAACGTCACTTTTGTGTGATATCCATGTATATCTTCCAAGTCAACGTTTCATGCGCTTTTTGACAATATATTTTAAGGCTTATCCAAAATAAGCTTTAATAATTAGATGTAGGAGATGTTTCTCAACCTATATAGATACACGTAATGGCCTTAAGTGACCAAATGTGGACATACATGGATTTTTCTTAAAGAATATAAATAAATAGAGTTGCATACAACATTGAATATACCACATCTAATGCATAGTAAAGCACAGCACTTGATTAAATGTACTTGAGTATGTGTACTTAACGTGCCACTAAATGTTATGTTAAAAAGGTTTGGATAAATGTACTCTTTGCACGGTTGGGGAGTTTGGTCGGCCTTGCGATGCCCGAGTCCATTCCAAGGACGTCAGGAGGGTCCATGGGGTTCCCCAAATACAGACTGAAAGAGAGAAGAGACGTCAATCAGATTTAATGGAATAAACCTGTGGCTGCAAATTAATTCAATATTAGTTTATAAGACAAACATTTTTAACTGAACATGTTATTTCTTTTCAGCTGTCCTTTATTTAAACTATAGCCAATAAGTACTTTTTTCGTGGATACACTTTGCTGGCAGTAAAAATGCTTGAGTTTTTTTATTTTTCTATTATTGCAGCAGATGTGAGTTGTTCTGAATTTCAAGCATGTTCCTATAAAAGCTTAACAAGTACATCATCTGTTGGTAAACTGACGCAATGCTGCACTCCAGTGGAGACGGCAATGATAGCAGTTCTACAGAATCACATACACATGGTTCGAGCTTAGCATAGCATAGCATTTAGTGATAACTGTTTGTAGTTCAATATTGTCCACTCTATCAATTAAAAATGTTTTTCATGATCTAGATGAGTAGTTCAATATAGGTCGAGGAGGGTAAAATGATGAATAAAGGAATAACAAAGAAACCATTGGTGACTTACATGACCTAACATGCTATTTAATATAAAAAAACATTTTTATTACGTTTTTCTCGCAAAATATTGCCATTCAACCCTTTGAAACATTTATATAACCAGATTGTTTTTCTACTAGTGTTGAACCCTAAATAAAACCATTAATCTATTAATTTATTGTATTATTTCATATTGTGTGTGGATGCAACTTAAGTTAATATGTGTGTATTATTAACCTGTCTATGCGGTCTGCATGTCCCCAGCTCCTGTGAGGGTCCGTGTCTCCGTGCCCCGTGTGGATGAAGGAGTGTTTGAGCGGTTTGCTGATGTCGTGGACGGACGTACCGGCGACTGATGTCACCACGTGACGAGGAAACTGACCGATACGCAGCGTGCCCCTGTTCTGTCCTCTCCACCAGTAATGCTCTGCCCTGAAAACACATATAAGGACATAATAAGGAGGTATTTTCTGTTTACCACATGACTGGAATCTGAGTCCTCATATACAATGTCATTCAAAATAATGGGACTTTCCTGTGTGGAGCGGATTGTCTAAGTCACATGAATGTAAATGACGGCAAATCAATAATAATTGTTTACTTGTGGGTTTTGATTTGGGCATCAATACCCACACAGTATATTTTATAAAATGAGCCATTAACTGCACAGCATTACATAAATGCTCAATAAAGCAAGGAATTCAATATCAACAAAAGGTGCATTTGTAGACTTGGAGTAATAACCTTCATTCCAATACGCACTGACACACATAAGCATGACTTTCCAAACCAGTAATTGTGTTAAAATACTGATCTGCTAATGAGAATTAAATGACATTCTTGAAGGTACAGCCATGTGAATTATAACACACTGACCTTCCCTCTATCATGGTGATGACATCGTTCATTTTAATTTGGAGCTTGTCTTCCTCCTCAAAGTCCTGGAGCGCTTTCATATCTGTCGGCATTGTCTGCGGAACACACACACACTTACAGTTAGAGGAAAAAGAGCTACAAAAGTCTGATGATTTGTTACTGTCATCAGCAGGATCATAAGATACAAACATGTCCTGTCATTCTTTTTAAATGGTGATTTATTTGTTTCCACTTGCTTTTCTTCTATTGTCCTTTATTTGTCCGCTGCATCACTTTGGTTTCCAACTACTTTTGGAGCTAAAGAAACACATTTAGTGTAAATATGAGATGAAATAACATTCTTTAAGCTTTTAATGTTCTTTGTATATTTAAATTTGGTGTAAATACTTGTCTTTAGTATTCTTTTTTTTATGCTAAATTGTTTCTTAAAAATACTTGTTTTTTTTATTATCCTTATACCTTTCGTTTTTTACCTACTATTGCAACTTATTTTCTTAGATTGTTTATGTTCGCACCACCAGATACCAAAGGCAATGCCTTGTATGTGTAACTGTACCTGGCCATAAACTTGATTCTGATTCTGATTAGACAAATTAACTCTAACTTTGAAATATATACAACTCATTAGAGGTACTGTAAAAAGTAATGTGGTGTAAATAGATTAAAGTAATTTAGTATAATAATGTCAGCTACTAAGCCAACCTCTCATCTGCAAACCACAACAAATAATACAAGTGATAGGACATGCTTAATAGCTGAAAAGCCTATGTATTTGTTCTGGTAAAGCGAGCTGACTGATTCTTGTCAAACTGCAAATAAAAATACTCTGGTTTAGGCTTTCACTTACAAATAAAATGTTTGCATTTAAAAAAAAAAAGACTCAGTTTATTTTGAGCTACTTTATACTTCTACCACTACACATTTTAGAGAGAAATATTGTACATTTTACTCCTCTCAATGTATATGTACTTATTTAGTTATTCATTACTTTATAACAGAAACAATTTAGAGGAATCTTTAAATGATATGTTGTTTAGAGATAATTTGCCAAATAGTAATATAAAGTTTTGTAACTAATAATAGCTCCAACATAAATATAAACGATAATTGATTATATTATTAAGATGTATTGGAAACATTTTTGTAGAGGATATACGTCAACCACAACAGATTATGAACTACACAGATACATGGTATGGTAATAAGAATATGATAATATAAGGTATTATACAGATAGAAGCATTACAATGACAGTGGCCATTCTGTTCATTAAAAAAGGTACTTTTTAAACCTAAAGTACTTCTTGCTTAAAAATGCTCTGTTCCTTTATAAGTAACAGAGCATTTTACGTATTTTTAAGGATCTGAGTAATAATCTCCCTCTATGCTTAGTTTGCACATATAACCACCTTTCTGAATGCACCTAAGATCAGTTTGAGTACCATGTACGAGTTTCCTCTCTTATGGTTTACATTATCAGGTGGTGCAAAGGGCTTAAAAAGCTAATTTTGACAAATAAATCCTGTATTACCTCCAGCAGGAAGTCTCTGAGGGCGATGAAGGTGGGTCTGTCCTCAGGTTTGGGGCTCCAGCACTGCAGCATTACATTGTAAATGTCCTGAGGACAGTCATCTGGTTTACAGAGCCTCTCAGCATCCATGTCCACCTTGTGGAGAATCTGCAAGCAGACACATAATTAACAGAAAGCTATAGTATCTTTATTGTGTGGGCAATTTTAGAAACTGCAAGAAGCTAACATAGTTTTTGGGGGTTAAGCTTTTTCAGAAACAGCACATGCAAAAATAGTTTTGTATCCAACATGTTAAGTTATGTGAGTGTGCATATGCATGCACCTGGCTCCCATTAAGGCCCAGCCACGGCTCCTGTCCATGGGTGAACATCTCCCACAGAGTGACCCCAAACATCCAGGTATCAGACGAATGAGAGAAACTACGAGACTTCAGAGACTCTGGAGCACACCTAGAGAGAGACAAGGAAAAATATAGAATACCACAGACACAGAAAATGTAAGAGAGAAAGAAAACTATGGATAAAACCCCATAAAATCTTTCAATCACTTGAGCCTGGATATAAAAAATACATAACGACAAATAATGAAGTGCGATCGGGACGCTCTTCTCACCATGGGAAAGGGATTTTGTGGCCCTCCTCCATGATGTAATGGTCAGTGTGTGTTGGCAGAGCTCTCATCAGGCCAAAGTCACCAATCTTTACGATTTCATTGGTGGACAGCAGAACGTTGCGGGCGGCCAGGTCTCTGTGGAGGAAACGTCTCTGCTCCAGGTAGGCCATGCCGCACGCCACCTAACATCCACACAGACACAAAGAGACACTGGTGGAATGTAACTAAAGTACTATCATACGTAAACATTTGAAGTGATTTTACTTCACTTGGGTATTTCCATTTCATTTATCTTTATTATTCTACCTGACTGTATCTCTGAGGGAAATATTGTACTTTCTTTTCAGGTTACAAACACACAGGTTACAAACACACAACAAACATACAGTATTATGATCTTATATTGTTTGCACTGCTGGAGATATAAAACAGTATACAAATAAGTTAATATCAGCACAACCTAGAATATCTTTATCATAAATTATAGTTAAACAATAAAAGAAAATATATTATGACTACTTTTAATTTTGATTAAAATGTCTGCTAATAGTTACATATTTCAAGTAAAGTGTTTGAATGCAGGACTTAAACTGCAGTGTGGTATTAGTTATTAGAATATTTCTGACGGCACTTATTTTCTTAACTTTTTCTCTCGTTTGAGTTTTTATGTGTTCATCCAAATGAATGAAGAAATAAAAAACTGATGTTTTACAACACAACTTTTGCTGCATGACCTTAAATAACAATAGAGACACATAAGTTGTCCTACAATATTTTCAGTGCATTTTACATTTATCTCTAGACACTGTAACATTCCCAATGAAATTGAGGGTTTATCACTTCCCCTAATGTTTTTTTCTTTGGTGTTAAACTGACCTGTACAGCGTAGTTGCACAGAGAGGAGATGAGGATGTGACCCTGACGCTTCCTGAGGCGATCCAACAGAGAACCCAGAGGGGCCAGCTCAGCCACCTGCACACAAGCACAGACATTATTTTGGAAAAAAAACACTCTGCTCATAATTGTTTACACATCTGATTTGTGATTTGGGTGTCTACTTTAGCATTTTTGAGTAAGAGTGTGTGTTTTACCATCTTCATGGGCTGCGTAAGGACGATGCCGTACAGCCGGATGAGGTTCTGATGGCTCAGTGAATGCATGGCGTTCACCTCTCTGATGAAATCGTCCAGACCATCAGAGTCCAACACACTGGCCTTCAGACACTTCACTGCCACTGACAACTAGAAACACAGAGAGTGAGAGACAATGTCAGCCGAACAACAAAGAGAATAAACTGCTGTATTTCAAAATGTTGCATTTGGGCCAGTTTTGTGGAAGAAGCAGAGATGGCAAAAGTACACACATCCTTTACTCAAGTAGAAGTACAGATACTCGTGTTTAAAAATACTCTGGTAAAAGTAGAAGTACTGACTAAACTTATTTACTGAAGTAAAAGTAAAGAAGTATGGGCTTCGAAATGTACTTAAAGTGGACCTATCATGCTATATTTGAATAATATAGTGTAGGACCCATAGACTGTATATATAAAGGTAGGACCATACCTATATAAGGCATATTTATACTTTTTGTTTTTCAAAATACCAAACAGATCATGCATTTTATCCATGCCTCATTTCGCTCAATTTGAAAAATGTTAGCTCTGTTTTTGCAAGGGCTGATTCTGTGAGAACAGCACCATCTACAGGCCTGGCATATGTACTACAGCGTCTCCAGCGCTTTCGAACGGCAATGGCCGTGGCTGTCTCCTCCTGATTGGTGGAGTTGGCCCAATAGCGGTAGCGCCAGCGTCCTGACGTCAGGACAGTGTTCAAATCTGGATCAGTTTTGATCAGATCCGTTGCAGCCCCTTTTTTAGAGATTTGGGTATGGAGGAAAATAGAGAGGGTTGTGTTTTCTGACACTTGGTGAGTTCCCTGGAACACCGGGGACACATATTCATGTATAAAAGACGTACAAAAGTGCATTTTGCATGATAGGTCCCCTTTAAGTAAAAAGTACCCATAACTACCAACTGTTTTAAAGAGTACCTGACCTCCCTTTATATTAATAGAACAATAATGTCATTGTTAGCTAATGACTGTTTCGATGCTGAACAACGGCAAAATGACAACGTTTTCATTGGTCGCTCTTCTTTAGAGAAGACCAGGAAATTATGGATACATGGATTGTGTTAAAATCAATAGGCACGCAATGACTCTAAATAATAATGATCCCGCCACTAAATGCAGATTAAAACTAAAGTAACGAGCCAGTTTTGAAAATGTAATGTAGAGGTATTTGTGTTAAAAATGTAAGAAGTAAAAGTAAAAAGTCGTCAGAAAAATAAGTTGTGGAGTAAAGTAATGATACCATAAGTACAATAATGAAGTATTTGTACTCCACTACTTCCCACCTCTGGGAAGAAGATAACCAGAATCAGCCAAGATGAGCTTAAATGTCATACATTTTGCACACACTACAGCATGTTATGCTTTTCCTTCCTCCTGTTTTTACACTATTCTGTCTCACCACTCTGCCGTTGGGTCCAGTCCACTCTCCTCTCCGCACCACCCCAAACGTGCCGTCTCCCAGCCGCTCAAACAGCTGCAGCTCCGACTCTCTGATCAGGCAGGTGAGCGAGGCTGCTGGCTCACTATTGGATGAAGTCGAACTGGACGATGCCCCCTGAGGGAGGGGTTGCTGGGGGTCCGTGTCAGGTCGTTTAACAGGGAACACCTACAAGCACAGAAAAAGAAACCGATGAGGGGTTTAATTGTATGTATGTCTCATACAGAGAAATATTTTTGATTTGATTTAATTATGCATCTACACACCAATCCAAGGAATTACATGTTCCAGTAAAAACCTACTTAAAATGTCAAAAAACCAGACACAAAATAGTAATTGTAGTCACTTCAGATGTACACAGTCATCCTGCAAACATGTGAGCATTATTTCAGCCCTGAAAATCAGTTATCTAATACAAGAAATCTATCTAAAATGTAGTAAAGTAACTAATATATTTGTCATTAAGCTGCAGCTAGTGTTCGGACATACGGGTTTAAGAGATAGACATTAAATGTTCCAAAGTCCAAGACTGTGTGTGTGCAATAATAGCGTTTAGTAAATTTGTGAGAAACTTGCAACTTCTAGCAGAAATGTGTATGAGTATGGTTTTATGTGTGTGTTTGCAGGACAGTGGTACTGCACCTTGCTCATCCAGGACTTGCGTTTATAGAGAGCTCTTCTCCTCTTGACTGCCTCCCAAAGCCTCCGCTGACCTAAAACGACACAATCACAAAAAAAAAAATTCAGATTGAGATTGTTTTCCCTCTAAAGACTTCTATTGCGTCTGGGAACAGGTGATAATAGGAAGTACCGGGGCGTCCCATGCCGATCTTCTCCAGGTCTTCGTTCTTGACATAGTCGAAGTGGGAGATTCGTGTGACGTTGAGCTCATCGCGGATCCGCAGGAAGTACTGCTGCAGCTGCACGTCTGTCAGCAGCTCCAGCAGCCACTCTGTCCCCTCCTCACTCTGCATCTGCACACACACATTTCAATATGCATTGACAGAAAGCCAGTGTTGAATACACATGGATTGTGTGCCTAAACATGTTATTTTTTGACATTTAGAGGTGCTGGTGCTCTTCCCTGTTTCCAACCTTTATGCTAATCTTTCCCTTGAATTCTTATTTTTTTGTCAATTCCTTTGAGTCCAATTTTTTTTCCACGAATCTGGATCCAAACATGATGTCATACAATATTTATCATGGGAGGAATTTATCAGAAATAATTAAATGTCCAATCAATTATTTAAAGCTGTCAATGTGTCCCTACTTTCGTGGATCTAGAATGTCATGATTGTTAATGATATCAATACTCAAATCTAAAGCATAATCAAACTTTTATGGTCAATTTTAAAATGGCATTATTTGAATTTTAAGAGAGATATGTACAGAGAAGGACATAGTCATAGTTCTCTGATGGACAACCTATTTAATAAAGATCATTAAGAATACAATGACATATTTTACAATTCAGGAATACATATCAAATGAAACTTGTGTCCACTAACATGATGCTGCAGTGCATGCTGGGATGTTTCCCTACAAAAACATCTCAATTGCCATCACATGATCAGCACTAACCCAATTAAACTAACCCTGATCCTGGTTTGAACTCTCTGCTCATTTAGCCTTTAACTCAAGATAACCCCCTTCAGGATTACCAAATCAAACAGCTTTAAAAGAACATACAAAGAATGATGATGATGCGGATAAAACATGTTAGCCTGAACTGGTTTAGCAGCATTTGAGGAACAGGGCCCTGGCTGTGGACAGCTGAACTAAAGTATAGTCCAGTTGCAAGCCCTACAATCACGATCAATACACACATGATCACAATCACACTTGAATTCTAACACACACCTCTTTATCTCACTGACGCACACTAGCACAGAAAAACATACTGTATTTACAGAGCGAAGAAGGATCATGGCATGTCCTACCAGAACTTTCGTATTTACCATTTGTCCCCCGACACTCTCTCTAATCCTCCCGGCACTCTCCTCTTCGTCCTCATCCTCCCCCTCCTCCTTTCCTCTGGTGTAAGGGAGTCGCTGGTACATATAGCTCTCCCCCATAGTGAAGCAGCTCCTCTCGTCCTTCGCCTTGTCTCCTTTTTTTTTGTCTATAGCTGCTATTCAGAGGAGGCGTTAGCTCTGCTGCCGTGCTCTGAGTCTAGTTTGCTAATCTCCTCTCGGCTCCATGACCTTCTCTGCTAAATCGATACATGCACACACACGTTCACAAACACACCGGGGGCATTTGACGCCACTGTCTCCAGTCGTATCCCCTAAAGCTATCTATAAACTCTGTATCTTCCCCCACACTGGGGTTTTCGCTCCCTGCTGACTCACGGCTTCCAGCGGCGTCGGACACCTCCATACTACCCTTTCTCTCGCCATCTTTTTTACTCTCTCTCTAGCTCTCCATCTCCTTCTGGTTCAGCAGCAGAGCCCACTGTCTGGTGATAAATAATTCAGCAGCTCTAACAAGAGGATGAGAAAGAGGGAGAGATGTTGGAGGAAGGAGGGGAGAAAATGCAATAACAAATAGGTGCACAGATGGATGGGTGAATGGATGAGTGGCCATTAGCCAGGCCAAAGAGGAATAATAGGGTTCCCAGCATTATTTGATAGATGCAGACATGCAGATAGTATCGCAGCTATGCTTGACACCAATCCAAACAAGCATAATATTATGGAGTCAATTTAAAAAAGGGAAAATCAGCTTTGGAAGCGTTCAACTGATTTCACAACCATTTGTAATTTAATTACTCAAGTATTTTGTCATGTGATAGTGGTTCTGCTCTGTGGTTTTGGTCTGTTGGTTTGACAAAACATGTCCTGGTTTTTCTTCTGACCTTATTTCTAAATAAACATTTAAACAATAGATTTAAACACAATTTTGTTCAACTGTATTTAAAAACCAAAGACTATATTTATTTCATGGTTTTCATTATTTGATGATTAAGCCATACTGAAAAAATATATTTCAGGAATCCCTTTATTTTAAAAAAAGCAAGGGATATCAATGGCCGTCTGTTGTTTGGTCCATGTCTCGGGTCTAGACGAAGATATCTCAGCAACTATGGGATAGATGGCCATGGACCAATCAATCAGCTAAAGCAATAAAACCAAGGTCAACATATTATTAATGTAACATAATGGTATACACAGGTTATTGCAATGATAAGCAAAATATTTGCATCCAGACACCCTTTCACAGACAGACGATAGCAATAATGTATTTGTTGTCAATACATTTTGTAAAAGCTGATTCACTGCTGCTTAGAATGCGCTCTTGAAACGGCCCAAAAAGTCACACAAAAATGCAATCTGCCTGTTCTTGTGAGCCTCATTCTGAATATAATTAGTTGAACTGACTTGCTGTAACAAATTACATGAACATTCAAAAGGTGAGGCTTTCATTTATGCCTCTATATTTCTTTTTATTCTTGTTTAATTTAGAAACAAGAAATATTGAGCTGTCATTAAAGCAACATTGTGTAACTGGCGCATATAAATAATAAATGCCTGTACATTGCACATGTGTGTTTTTGTGTGCATCCGTGGCCTAAATGAGCACAAGATCTGAGCATTCACTTTTATCGAGGCCAATGCTCTAAATATAGGAAAGCTACATTTAACTTACATCCACAGGCATGGAGTGTGGAGCAGAACTGCTAATTTGTTGTAATCACAGCATCTATACCTGAGATTCAGTCAGGACTGTTATATACAGTAATGTGTTCCTGTATGATAAGGATGACAATTTATTGTGCATCCAGAATCCTGTTTTTCTTTATTCACTGTCCACTTGCTTTGATCACTGACTATATATAAACACCAGGAAGCATGTTTTATTATTATTGTATAAGGATGACCAGCTACTACAAATGTAAGTTCAAGCACTCTACCTTGTTCTGTTTAGAGACAGAGTTGTTTTTGGACTGTATCAAATCATATAGGAATAAAATGAATACATCTTGAAAATGGCTGTATATGACAAATAGAACAGTGTATGAATAGTGTCACATTTGAGAAGCGGGATTCAGATAAAAAAAAATGTTGCTTGATAATTACTGAAAAGTGTAATAGATTATCAAGACAGCGATTGATCAAAATTCTGTCAATTTTCTGACAGGTGCGAACACGCTACAACGGCCCAAAACATTTTCAATAGGAGAAACGTGCTGTGGATTCAGAAACTATGCAATCGGTATAATCCCCAACTGTCACTCTCACAGAGTTTGTCTGTTCATAATCATAAGTGTTTTGTTAATATATTTGAAATTAATGTGGTTTGGGCTTTCTTCCAGCGTTTTGTATTTGCAGCATTTTTTCATTTGCAGAATTTTTTCGTTTATTCATAATTGCATAGTTCCTCTAGCTGCAGTGAGGCTTTCCTAATAAAAGTGTTTTGGGCCAATAAAGTGCATTTGCGCATGTCAGCCACCGTACAGATATATTGGTTGACTATTAGAGCCAAATTGGTTATTTGAAACTATTGATCAGACAGAATTTTAATCAACCACTTTGTTCGTAATCTATTGCACCTGTCAGCCACCATATCTGTCACTAAAAGAACAATATCATAGAAAATCAACACATTTAAAAAGAAAAAGGACATTTTGAGTACATTTATAAAGGCATTAGTGTAGCCAGTACAGAAAGACATTCTTCTGCAATAATCTCTTACAGTATGTGTGTCTAACTGGTCCTACCCTGCAGAAGTCTGCTCCTGGATCAGGGTTTAAAGCTGCAGTCAGGAGGGACTGAGGTCACTGGAGGTCACCTGGAGGAGGCCATGGATGGAGAGACCCCGCATCTACATACACACATACAAAACAAGCAGTGAAATCAGAATGACAAGAGCTCACTCAAATGATAAATGAACCATAAGTAAACTGCTCTGAGAAATAGAACTCAATCTGTCGGTAGGCATGGAGTAATTCACAACCATGACACATTAAAATAAAAGCAGTCTCTATTCAGTGTCTTCAAAAATATATCAGGCTCCAATGCTGTCCATAAAGACGATTTAATTACATTATTGAAATATTTTTCGAGTCTGTTTTTTTCCTCCTATAGATCTGTTAATCAGGTTAATAGCTACAAATGATAGCACTGAGACTATTTATTTTGTCTATAGGAATATGTTTGGGGTTATGGAAGAATTACTTCAAAAGAGTTTTGAGATGCCATGTTGTTGAAGACATGGCATCGGAAGAGTTATCTAGTTGCACGTTACTGCACAGATTATTCTTTATTTTCACCAACTCAAAGTGAAGATAGTTAAATACTTATAGGCTGGCATTTTCTTTTTTTTAAAGGATTAAACTGAGCCCTCAAATTCCATTTGAAAAAATATCTTTCAAAATGTTGGGCACTTTGTGTATTTCCCCATTCATTTTTAAGTCATGTTGAGAAGAATTGAAACAAAATCCATATGTTTTCAAATCAAATTATTGAAATCCCTTAATGTTTGGTGTGTCATATCAAATCTTTTTGGGGGCATTTGACACCAGATTGACAACAGTATTGTAATGATTTGACTCCAGGTCAGTTCCGAGTAGAAACTGCATCTCACTGTGGAAAAACATATTAGACATTAAAAACAAAAGAGTGAATATCAGTATCCACCAATAAGCATCAAGCTAAGACCAGAGTTCAAATAGTGTGTGTCCACTGGGATGTTCATCATGCGAAAGAGCTATAATCTCCATTGAATAGATCAGCATGGATTTGTATTGATTCGGCTGCTGCTTTACATTGTCAGTGTCTGCCCCCCCAAAGCTGATTAGCCTCAGTGACGTTCGATGTCCACCTTTATATGTGTCAGTAAACACCTCACCACTTTAGTTTCACTCCCAAACACAATAGATTTATTTTATTTAGTCATTTATTGTGTTTTGTTTTAGTGCAACATGCCGCGTTTTCCATGTAGCGATATCGAGCTGCCAGATAAAGACAACCCCAGCATACCAAATTGTATAGCTTCCTTGCAGAATACCAACCTGGGAGGTGAAGACGGGTTTACGGGAGAACAGTCCACCTTCCTGCGGTTAGTCCTCGCTCTGTCCGCCGCTCTTTAGCACCTGCTGCCCGGCGTGAAGCCGCGCTGTTTGTCGGGGAACCTTTTTAATTCAGCGGAACCGTTATCTCTCTCCTCCGTTTATTCCTCCTCGGTGCGCCTGTCCGAGTTCACGAGCGTCACTGTGCGTAACATCATCACGCGCAGATAGAGCGGCGGAAGTGGCTTCGAATTCACCACAATAATAGCACTTCCTATTCGGAGATTCAGGCTTCAAAATAAAAGCACGAGTAAAACGCGATTATGAAAAGCCTTATCAGGAGCATAAACAGCAAAGGTGTCATATAATTAAATATTTATATATGTTTGTAAAAATAATGTTGATAAAAGTTTCACTAGTGTTGCCCTTTTTTATGTTAATGTAGTCTAAATGTAAATTAAATACTGTTCTATTAAATCTGAAAACCATGACAAATCTTGAAATAACAGAAATTAAAATTAATACTTGCTCTTAAAAATATACATTTACCTACTAATGACAAGTCTTCAAAAAAAAAGAAAAAAGCTTACAACAGATACAGTATGATATATATATATATATATCTCAACGGCAATTGGCTTCAGTTTACCACTTTTTGCCTTATTTTGCTCATCATAGCCCAAAATCTGTGGCTGAAGTTTAATACTTGTTTACTAAATCAAAACTATAATTGCTCTTGTTGAAAACATACAAAAATGTAAAAAAAATAGGATCAGACAAACATATTCTGGAAGCTAAGCCAAAAGGGTTTATTAGACTTTTCTGCTGAACATGGAGATCATGATGAGAACAATGAGTTATGAAACTTACAGTTGGAGTTACACAATGAAGGGAAAATGAATTTCCCAACCTTTCAGTTGCCCCTATCAGAGTTCAGTAACGTTTTAATTGTTGCAACATCTTGCAGGAAAGAAAAAAAAGGCTGCAACAATATCAAGCTGAACAGAAGGGAGGTGTAATAATGACATATAATAATCTAAAGTACCCAACACAGATGTTTGTTTGCTCTAGAGCATATTGAAATAAAGAAATTGGATATGAATTTAATTAAATTGGGTTGACTGACTGATGATATTCTTTTAACATGTGTATTCTAATAAATATCCCTTATTGCCATTTTAAAGGCCTTAAAATATTGTCAGAAAACAACTTTTATGGAAAGAAAAAATGGTCAAACAAAAAGACATCAAACAACAGCTTGGAAAAAAAATATCTATTGGTAGAACTCAAATTCATTTAAAAAGTTTGTAATATAGAAATGATGTTGAACTACACCTGAATAAAGCAGTACAGTAACATGAAGAGGAAATATGCCATCCAAAAGCATGCAAAGAGAGTTGTAGGTACATCTGTTGTACTTTTGAAGTCACTAGGTTTGTTGAAAACTGTAATCAATTAAGTGCATTTCAATAATGTTCTGTGTTTTATTGGATGTAAAACAAATCTGTAATCTAGCTAAATAAGAAACACACCCACATAATCCAAAAATAATCACCAACAAATAAATATATCAAGTATAAAACTCTGGGAAACACTGTCCCCGATAAGTTGTTCCACCCTCAAGTGAAATATGAGAGACACTGCTCTCGATAAATACACATTTAAAACACACACAAACATACAATCACACACACTGGTAGGCAAAAACTACCATCACTGCTTTACATCATGGAAGACACTGCTCCCGATAATGGGTTTTAATTATGGAAGACACTGCTTCCGATAACTTTATCATAATATAAACTGTTTCAAAGTAGACTGTGCAACATAAATGGCTTTCTTGCAAATTAACTAATCATTACTCGCGTCTTAAAGAGCTTTGATAATGTTTTAGCTTTAAATTATTTGTTTAAACTTGAATTCATCGTGAAGTGCAGGATAAATCCAAATCTTAATACATTTCTAGGCTTAGTGGTCTATAAATAAGAATTTCCCAATATCCAGAGACTTTTGGTTTTCACTAATTTGACATATCAGGGATTAATTCTTTATCACTCTTAATTTCTTCCTTTTAAATAACGATTTAATGGCAAAGAAGACATACGGTCATGCTGTCATTCTCTAAAATATTTTCTCAAAAAAGAAGATATAAAGGCCATTTACAATAAAAGTATATTTTCTTTTTTAACAGGGGATTCCATTTTGTCAGCAACAGTTGAGGAGTCATTTCTGTAGCAGATGCTGCCGGGTGCTTAGACAGTATAACCGTCATAATTATGGAAGACACTGCTTCCGATAACGTCGTATAAAAAGACAAAATAATTATTTTATAGTGGGCACAGCCACTGATAAAAAACATAAGTATAAATAAGGTTTCTCAGTGTTTTGATGGCGAGAGGTCACAGCAGAGGGTTAGACTGCTTCAATTAGTTGCCAGGAGAAGAGGACGCAGATTTGTCAGTAGCATTATTATCAAGTATTTCATGTTGTTTCACAGTAAAGAACTGTTTCGTACTCTTCTATTTCCTCCTGAATCTGTGGGGGATTACAACTCTGACCCTGCCTGTTTTAGGGGTTGGGCTTAGACCTCTGATTGACAGCTTGTGCTAAAGTGCTGTTGTTGGAGCTCTTTCCTCCGTTTCTACTTTGGACTGCATTTCTCACACAACAATCACGCTCACAACTTCCCAGACTTTTTTCTTTAGATTTCCTCATCGATGTCCCAGATGTTGCCCACCATGGCGTTGGCACATCCCTGCAGGTTCCAGGTGGCGAGGGCCAGCTGGGTGCGGAAGTGCTCCATGTCGGTGGTCTCGGCGATGGAGGCCAAAGTGTGGGAGCCCCGACCCAGCAGGAGATGACGGAAGGGGGTTTCAATGGGGGACACGTAGGGAGAGAGGAGGGTGTGCTCAACCTGGAACGATAAACAAAGACTGTTATACATCTGTGAGGTGTTAAGATATAGTAGTAAAACAAAGCTACATGTATACTGCGCTCAGGATAGTACATTAGCAAGAGCATTCACTCAAGGAACCATTCTTATAAACCATCTTCATAAGATAAGATTTACTTAATTGATCCCAATTGTTTTTTTTCATGTACTGTGTGGGTGGTGTGTGTGTGTGTGAGTGTGAGTGTGAGTGTGAGGATGCAATTGAACCTGTGATGATTTGATTATTATTTCTATCTTTTATTTTCCATTACCTTTTGAAAAAAAAAAAATGAAACGATGCAACATGTTGAAATAGTATGCTAGTGGAACCTTTACTCAATTAGTAAACATACAATCCAATAATAACGTTTTAGAATGTTTCAATTGTACAAACTAAACAGAATCTAAAATGTTTACATAACATGGAGGATCACAAACATAAGTTTTGAATTTGGCATAGTTTTGCACTTTTTAAATATTTCTTAACCCAACCCATGACGGAAATTGTACATTTTGCCAATTTGTTCACATGGGAATATACCAACGGGACAGTAGTGCCATCAACCAAAGGATTGAACTTGTTAATAACATTTTAAACATGCATGCGACTACACTGCGTCTCACCGTCATGATCCTGTCATTGAGGATCCGACAGGCCTCCTTGTCACTTATGTCAGTGCTGTCGACGTCATTTGTAATGCTGCTGGCGGCTCGTTGGAAGGATCCACGTGCACGGTTGAGCCAGTTGGAATTCACTTCCTTCAGCTGACCAGTCTACAGAATAAAAAGGTATCAGCAATAACACTAAGAACAAACATAAACGTTTTAGCTAGATGTCAAAAGACAGATGGAGAAACGGACCTTTGAGAGCTGGTTGATGCGTTTGTAGACCCGGACCACAGCCTTGGTGATCACGCTGCTGTACCGGCTCACATCCAGGCTGGGATACAGCACGTGGTCGTGAACCAGTCGCAGAGCCATCTGTCCCGCAAACTGTGCCGCCAGTGCCGCCATTTCACTGGTGCGATGGTTTGTCTTGTAATCGAGTTGGTTCTTGTTGTCCAGGTCGGTGCCATAGTAGCTGTAAGTCTCCTCCTTAACACACAATTTCAAAACAATGTACATGTTAAAACAAAAAAAACACAAAGGAAACAAGATGTAACAATCAGAATAAGTAGAGTAATCAGTAAACTGCCAAAAAAAAAGTCATCAGTTTGTAGCAAAGGATGTAGTGATCTTGTGCATTTTGAATTGATTTTACTTTCACTACGAGAAGCTATAGGATGTTCTTTAAAAAAAAAGGGATACAGAATAGGAGTTTCTTCACTATTGCAACCTTTATATGCAAATAACCCATCTGACTCGTTTATATACAAAAAGCACTGAATTACAATGCATACTGTGTTTCTAAACTTTGGATTAATGCAATGTCAATAACCTAATGTGAAAATAAATGTCTAACATCATTTATTTTTCCATCTTTAGTCACTAGAGGATATAGGAGGTTTCGTACATCTAAACAATGCCATCATGTGGGTAAAAGTAAACATATCAACAGTAATTATCCAGGGATTGTGTTGCATTACTCACGTTGGGATTGATGAAGTGGAAAGAGATGGAGGGAATTCCAGACAAGGCCAGGAAGGGATAGGCAGGGTCGTCCATTGACATTGGCTTTAGTCTGCACATATCAGAATGTTATTGAAGGTTATTGTAACGAACCCATCTTTTACAACAAAAAGTTTCACAATCTGTTCTTTCAGCTGACATACAATGTTTGGTATTGGCAATTCAAATATATTTTTTGTAAGACATTTTTACTTCCGCATAAAAAAAGACCACATGGCGTCACATGGGGGAGAGCGGCCGGTCTAACGTATTAATAAACATGGATCACAATGCTAGTTTTGACACAGAAGAGGTTGAAAATGTATATTCGTATGCATATGACGGACCACAACCTTATAATTATGAGCCTGCTAGGCGTCCAAGAGACCAGGAGCAGCCAAGGATTAGAAGAAATAACGGCCATCGGAGAGAAATTGAGCTGTGGTGTGAGGAGAACCAGTGGAGAACAGGGCAGCTGTCTTGGTGACAGCTAGCTACAGTTAATGTTAGCTAACGTCGGTCACATCACAACATTGTAAAGTTATCATATATCAGGCTATAACTAAAGTAGTATTGATAATATAGTAACGTTACTGGCAGGACTGTTGATACTGATCCATAACAGAAACTAATGCGCAAGTATCAGCCGTATCTCGCGTTACC